CTCATATACTTACTGGAAACTTCATGTTTTAATTATTAAATAAGAACACATCTAAAGATGTAGATATTAACTAGTCTGTTCTATCTGTTACTAATATTTTCCCTAACCTGTTTAATGCCTTTTGCAAGTCAATATGTTATATTTTGTTGTCCAAAGCTTTAAATTTAAATGTGGTCATAGCTATTATTCTTTAAAGCTATCACCTCCTTTCCTTCAAAGCTCATACATATGTAACTATATCAGAGTGTCTACTACGGTCAGGCAAGATCTTTGTTACCTCATTTATTACAAAAATCTTAAGATACAGGTATCACTGCCACTTTCTATGTGACTAAATCATGGTTTAAAGAAGTTAAAAGGCTCTGTTAGAGCACCTGAGTCAAGGTTAATACCCAGGTTTGCCTGGAACAAAAGCCTTTATTCTAGGAAAGCCTGCTTCCCTGTGAAAACAGAAAAGTCATCCTTCCAAAAAATCCAATAAGCATACAGTTCTTTTATTAAATTTCTTTGATTTTATTTTAAAAATAATAACACACTGTTGACATTCTTTCTGTGTGATTACAACAGACAATAAAATCACTGTATTAGCCTCCAAAAGGAAAGGAGGTTGATATGACAGAGGAAAAAAAAATAACCTCTGAGAAGGTAACATTTTGCATATACGTAAAGTAAAAAAAATAAGAGAAATGGGCTATCAGACATCTGGCACTTTCTTTAGTTAACATTCTAGGAAGAAGAAATTCTCACTTTATTTGGCCACACTGACACTATAAAGCTGGAAAAGTAGAAGTAAAGAAAGTGGTCAATATTATCAGGTAACTTGTATCAAAGCCAGATTCCATTAATTTAGGCAAAGGTTAAAGCTGATCTATGAAAACAGCAAGGAGAGCTTTGGTAAATTTAGATAATAAAAAGTCATACAATGATACTATAAGGTAGCTTGAAGGTACATATTATTATTGGATTTTTCCCAGTGTTCTGATTTGTTTAATAGATATTTCCAGTAAGTACATTCATGAGGCTTATTGCATGATAGACCATCTCTATTTAAAAGAAAAAACTCTTAATATCACTAATATATGTACAAAATTAAACCACATTATTACCCATAAATCAGGGAAATACAGTATGGGGTGGGTGGGAAGATGGAAATACCCATATCAGCACTAGAATATTTAAAGCCTGTTAAAATTTTTGTACCTAAGGGGGGGGGGAATTATTTGAGATCCTGAGTGAAACAGAATCTAAAGACTCTAACTGAAATATTCATTCAACTTAAAATTAAAATCATAATTGAAAATAATAGCTTGATAATGAAAATGTCTGTATCCCTAATGATATACTCACTTCTGTAAATGTAAGCAGCAACTTCTCCCTGAGGTATGTTCTATTACACAGAAAACTGTGGTTTCTTAAGGAAGTATCTTTGTGGGAGACAGCAGAAAGTAATAAGATGCAAGGTAAATTAGGAAAATTTATCCATATTGTTTGCTATCTTTTTACTACTTTAAATTTAGTTATTAATATATATATTCTAAAAGTAGACTATATAATATATTAAGTTTTATGACTGTTTAGCCAGTTTCTAAAATAATTTTATATATCACTCCATTTGTTTCTCATAGTTAACTATCAGGATGGGTGTTATTTATCCCATTATTGTTGCATTTGATATACAGAAAGTAAGTTTCCTAAATGTTTAGGTATTTAAGGCTACAGGGCTTCTAGAGGTGAAGTCACAACCAGAGGTTTTTGCTAATGTGACCTCCTGCTTTGGGCCTCATGTAGAATCCCTGAGACATTCCTCTCTCCAGGGGGCACCCCAAGCTCCATCTCTATAGTTAAGCTACTCTAGGGTACTTCACTTTCCTTTTTCTATTTTCTTGTTTCAGTAGAGAATTTGAAAATATAGTAGGTTTTCAGCAGGGGATGACATTGATATTAAAGATGGGAAATGATATGAGGAGTCTTGAAGTATAATTGTTACTGGAAAGAAAAGACTAATTTGAACTGAGTCTAAGGCACAAAAAAAGACTTACTTTACACACACACACACACACACACACACACACATTTCCTTAATGGAAATTTTACTTATTATTTATACAAATAAAGTTATAGTGTATTGAATAAAACTGTGAATAAAACCATACTTGGTAAGTAGGAATTGAGATGGCTGCATTCAACACATAGGGATAAAGTATCATTGTAGCACTGTACGGATTTAGCCACATTTCCATCAACAGGACTTATGAGGCTAAATTTCTATGTAAAAGTATAGCAAATTTACCATCTAATTTTAATGTTTTGAGTACTGAATTTTCCATTTTTCAAAAACATGGGAAGAAATGCCTCCTACCATCATGGTAATAAATTCCTCAGAACTATCAGAATGTTAATACCATTCAAGTTCTAAAGGCACTTCAAGAAATAGGAAGAAATATACAATTAGCCAAGAAAAATAATCTAAAATTCTGGAAGCCTTGGGAAAACATTCAGAAAGATTACCTTATGTTTTTGTTATCAAATAATATCTACTGTGGTGGGACCAACTTTTTGGAATCGTTTTTTAGGAGAAATAATGAATATGATTGGGCTGAAGAAATTCTATTTTATTTAAAAAAGTGATGAAAAGCCCTAAAAGCTTTAGCAAAACCCAGATTGGATTTGACCTGTTTGCTTTTGAATAAATAAGACGCCATGCGGTGAAAAGGGTAGATTACAGAGTCAGACTTGCTCAAATCATGGCTGCACTACTTATTACATGGGAGTCTCTGGGAAAATCACTTTCTCCCAGTTTCAGTTTCCTTATCTGCAAAACGGGGATAGAAATCTTAAAAGACAGAATAGTGGTACTGATCATGAGACAATTAAAGTTAGAACATCTCTCACAATGTTTGTCTCAGAAGTACAAAGGCAAAAAAATAAAATAAAAATTTTGGGTACCTACTATCAGCAAAATACTATATAAAAGGCTGAGAATATAATGGTGAGCAGTAAATATAATGGGACTATAATGGTCGCTGTATTTATTAATAAATGTTTGTGGAATTCATTTTTCTTAAGAAAATCCAATAATAACAGTTGGGTCAGGATAAAAATCAAGTTATAATTAAAATACCCTCAAAAAGTATAATACAAATAACTACAGATTTTGAAATCTACCCAACCGCATTAACACTTTCCATTTCTCCATGTTTTTTTTAGCATAGTGATCTGTGTTTGATGATGACATCTTAAATAAATGTACTTTAATTAATTAATTTGAATTAATATATAAATTATTTCTATATGCTTTAAAATATTTGCTGCTACATTTGAATTACTTACCCATATGCCATATCAAGGGATAATAATATAAACCTACACTATAGGTTGTTGTGAGAGTTGAAAGAGTTATAAAAAGCAATGAAAACAATCCTTGACGCTAGAGAACACTTGATAAATATTACACATTATTAGTATAAGCATTAAATAATAAACCTGAATTATTTAGAATATCAACAGCTCTCAGAATTGAGAACTTTGAAATAACCAGAAATCCACAAGGTGGCTCTCAAGGCTTGGCTTTCAAACACAATAGATTTGGTTCGTATTTCCAAAGGAATGAAACAAGACTTATGAATGCCAACCTGACTTTTCAAATACTCTCATAAATTCATAAGTAATAAATAACTAGAAGAATGCAAAGCTGTATAATACGTGTCATGCAATAGAAAATTTTATAAAGTGAAAAAAATGAAGAAAATGAATAAAGTTTGTAATTCCAAAGTGAAAGAGAATCTGACATTCAAAACAACTGGCAGCAGATTACCATATTCAGAATTTACAATTCAATAAAAATGGTGAAATTTACAGCGCAATTATAGCAATTAAATGCATTTTACTAACATTGATAAAAGTGAAAGTGCAAAGAACAATGTATGGCAGCTAGACTGTTCAGTAAACATTATTTAAATCTTATGTTATGCATATAAAATATTTTAAAGTTACCATAATTTTATGCCCATAGATTTTTTATTTGAAAATTACTTTCATAGCTGTAAGTCAGGGCAAACTCTTTCTGCAAAGAGACAGGCAGTATATCTCTTGGGCTTTGTAAGTCATGTAGTCCCTGTAGCAATCATTTAATTCTTCCCTTGTAGTCCAAAACGGCAGCTTCAGACAATAAAAAAAGGGGTCTGGCTATTTTCTAACAGAACTTGAATCACAAAAACAGGTGAATGCCTTTGGCCCTTGGCCTACAGTTTGCCAACTGTTGATCTAAACCATTATTTGACATAATTAAATAAAACCTGTAAATCTTAGGATACTATCAATACCCAAATTACCTAAAGAAGTGCTTCTCAAACTGTAATTCATCTAATTTATCCATACTTAAATCTAATTGACTCTACTTAGTATGTTTTGAGTGTATTTGCTAAAATTCAATATAATGGTAAATTTATTACCATATAACAAAGATGTAAAATAAAAATGTCATTTATGCATAAAGCAGCTCAAAATGTTACTAAATGCATAAAATAGTCAGAATATCAACTTTTTAGTTTTTGTGGATTTTTGACACATTTTGAAAAAAAAATTGAAATCACTTAATGCAGTAAAAGTTAAAAAGGGCTTTTGTTTATGTAGGTATGTCTTCCCATACTAACCCTAGAAATTAAAACTGAAAGTTAATAAAAATATTTGTCAATTAGTTCTTTAAGAGAATAATAAGTATATTAGATGTTAACATTATGAAATTTCACTGTATTTTATATTTTAACTATATTTTAAAGAACAGGACGAAACACTACAATTACCATTCAGAAAGAAGTGATAATTGAACACATCATGCATTGGGATCTTCTCAATGATCATTAAGAAAAAAGTCAAGATGATAAATCTGTAAAATTAGCTTCTTGAGAATTGGAGACCATGGATCTTTCAGGTATAAAATATTTGGTATCTGGCATATTACGTGCTTTAGTTCTTGTATCTTGCTGTAATTTGTCCCCTACCTGTTTTTCTGCATGTCCATATTCAGGCCCCTGTGTAGGTAAAAAGCAGGAAATCTGGCCATTGTTTTTCGCTCTTTCTATTAGAGACATAGCTGTTCTTACAGTGGCATTTCGAGCATGCACAAACACCATCACCTAAAATAAAGGAAAGCAGTTTATTTAATATTCAAATTCATTAAAAGATGGCTTAGCATTAGTCTGGAAATCACCCTATATAAACAAGTGTTAATTTTTCAAAACAAAACCCCAGTTTATGAATTCTCCAACATTTCCTTATTTTAGAACAAAGTATGTATAGGATAAAGGAAAGTTAAATAAAATTCAATAGCATAGCTTAATTAGCCTACATTTGCCTAAAAATTGGCAGATGTTAGAACTGAAATTAATGGATTATATAAAATGTAGAGTTTAATTTGTGGATTTTCTCTTTTGAAGACCTGATTCATTAGCACAATCATATATTATGGGGACAGAGCACGAAAATATGAGATCCTTATTTCTCCACAGTCAATGAAATTTTGAAACTCACAAAGATGTTTAAAGAAATTGAAAATAAAGAACACTCTTCCTTTCACAAAATCATGTCTAAGAACAAATATTTAAAATAGAGTTTAGGCGAATGCTGAAGATGAAAATGCTTCTAGAGAGATATTTAGAAATTTTTGTTGCAGACTTTCCTGTGGAATTATTCACAAAGTGACTGTGGAAATTTGAATTAGGGAAAAGTTGCATGTCTGGATGTTTTGTCAAAGAGAAGTGGAAAATAGTACTTTCAGGGAGTCACCCTGGCAGAATGTAAATACAGCTGAAGAAAATCAATGAGAAAATAATTAGCATCCTTAATTTTCTGCCTATCAGGGCCTGCCCTCTCTCCCCTGGTTTGTTTCTTCTCTGGCCTTTACTTCCCCCCATATTCAGCTAAACCCTAGACTTCCCCAAAAGCCATTACTATGATAGAAAATAATTTTATTCATTCATATGGGCAACTGATCTTTTTAAATTTTATATGGTATGAAAAAAAGCATCTTCAGATAACTTTGACAGTTTTCTTAATCTGAAATACACAATCTTAGGATATCAGTGTGGGTGCTTTGGACAACTTAAAGGCAAGTTCTAGCCCTAGCTTCCCATCAGATTGACACCTCTAAATCTCTCTGGAGTCACTATGGCATTTCCCTTAAGCCTCAGTAATATGAAGGTCCTAATTCTTGCTTCTTCTTCCCAATATTTCCTCATATTCTGTTAATTATGTTTTCCTGAAAGCTAGAACTTTGGTACTATTTGCTGGCTGCACATTTAGAAGAATATGCAACCGATTGCTATGAGTCATTAAATTAATAGGCTCATATGAGTTGACCTAAGTAAAAGTGGAGATCACTTTTAAAAGGAGAAGGAGTTCTGGGGTTTGACCAGAAAAGAGACAGAGTGACAAAGTACATGTTGTATCATTAACCCATAGTAATCTTATGTTTTAACCTTGTCAAAGAACATGTTCCACAAATGAGATGCTGGTTAAAATTCACAGTGGTGTAAAATCTTAAATAACAATCAGTCAAGAAACTGGAATACTTAAATAACTAACATTCTTCCAGGGTGTATTCAAAGTAAAGGAGAGTAGATAATCTGGAGAAAACCAGAAGTTCCTCAATGAAAAACCCTCAGAACTCAGAAAACATAAAACAAGCATTATGAGTCATCTAGAGAAATTTTACATCAGCTAATGACAGCCTTCAGGGATATCAAGGCTAAAATTTCACACTCTATCAGAGCTCTAACATATTTGCTGGTACTAACGTGTTTTGAAAATATGATCATAAGAATATTTCTAAAGAGCACACTAATAAAATTTATTTTAGAAAGTTTCACAGATACAGGAAAATTCTTCTGTTTTCTCTATTTTCAACTAAAAAAAACCCCAAATCTGATTTTGATAGGCTCTCTAGCTTTCTGAGGGAAACATCTTTACCTCATACGATGTCAAGAGCCTGCCATTTAATATCACTATGATATTCTCATAATTACTAGCATACGTTGTTTAATACTAAGTTAGACAGAAAATTCTGTTAACCATAACGCCCTGATGAAGTTTCACCAGTTCAGAGTCTGTCAAATTGTTATCATCCTGTCTCTTGCAAAAGGTAGGGGTATTTCAACTGTGAATTTCTTTTTAAAGGGTAAGGCTGATTTTTTTTCTCTTATATAAAAATAAATTTGATCACACACAAAGCCTCATTAAACCTCAACATTAAACTTTTTAAAAAATCTCAATTAAAATGAAGTTTCCTATTATTTTATTAATGCAATCACTCATTCAAACAATTCTGAGTATGCAGTTATTAACAAGCCCTGAGAAAACTGCTGTGAATAAGAGAGACAAGGTACCTGCCCTCATGGAGATGAGACTCTAGAATGATGGATTAAATAAGAACAAAATATTTTTGTACTTGATAAATATTTACTGCCATATATGTGCAAAATACTCTTAGAAGGAGAGATACGAAAATGGACAAGATATGGTCTCGTCTATGAAAGACATGTACAATTAAAGGAGGGAGACAAAACAGTACACATAATTTAGGCAGCTGACCCAAAAGACGGATGGAGTGTGGCCAACACAGGAAGGCTAAACATAGAGCTAGTGGGTCTCCTTCATTTATGCATCCAAAGATGTGTACACAGTACCTATTGTGTGCCAAGCACTGTACGGAGCTCCAGTGATACAATGATAAATATGTTCCAAGGCTCCAAGGTGGAACGCTACTGCTAACGGTGAGAAAGAGCATCTAGCAATCAGCCCTATCTGGCTGTAGAAGCAGGGTGCAGCCTGGATTCTCCTTCAGAGTTTCTTACACGGAGGCCCAGGGACCACGTCATGAGAACCACTGCTGGTCCTTGTTAAAACAGATTGCTGGGCTCGCCCGTAAAAGCAACCGAGTAAGGATATCTAGGAGTGGAGTCTAGAAATTGAATTATTAACAGCTACTGAGGTGACCACTGCACTATTGTGTGAAATTAGTTAATAATCACCACCAACTTAATGTTCTTCTCCCCAAATAAAAGAAATATAAAAGGAAACATAAATGAAACCATCATTACAAAGATGATTTTTAAAATTCCCTAATAACCTATCTTTATATACATATGAAATAACAAGGAATATTAAGGTATTTTATATAACCAGTGTAGCCCCAAGATCATTATCCAGATGGGCTAGTGTTTTATAATGCATTCAGATTTCTATTCTCCATTATTCAAATACCACATTATGTAAATCCCGTTGAAATAAGAGATATGGAGAACATAAGGGAAAATAAAATATGACCCTAAATCTTCATTAATTATTTCAGTCTGACTTGTCAACTTATCATTTTGCAAATTATTTCCTACTGGAGCCAAAGAGAAATATTAGTTACAACTTAAAGTAGCAATTTCTTTTTATTAGAGGATCCATCATGTCTTGTTCAGTAAAATAAACTCTTTTTCTTATTAAGAATTTTCTGTCTAGAGGCTCCGACAGAAGCCATTACAAGGTTTTGGGTCTCTATAAACATACTCGATTTTATGGTCTGTTAATTTGGTTAATTAATTTAAATAGACTCACATGAAAATTATAACTAACACAGAGGACACCATTGTTTCACTTGGCAGAAATAACTTCAAATTAATCTTGGAACACTGTTGGTAACCGAATAGCAGTTAAGGGCATTAAAATAAGATTAGAACAGTAGGTTCAAGTCAATAATGTTGGTAAATTTTAATTGTTTTATAAAACTTTATGTTTTTACTTGAGGTTTGCTAGGTTAATGCATTTAAAATATTTTATATACTTATTTATAGTTTAAAAAGCCCCTTAGTTTAAATATATATATAATGAAATCAGTCCTGGACTAGGAAAGAAAGTATGTGAATATGAGTTCTGGTCCTGTTTGACTTGCCAAAGAAAGAGTTCTTCACATGAAATGCTTGTTAAAATTAACACAAGAACAAAATAATCGTATAAAAAACGAGAATGCTTAAGTAACTGATATTGTTTCAGTATATTCAAAGGAAAGAAGAACATATCTGACAAAGACGAAAAATTTCACTTTAAAATATTATGAAATAACTGTGATTTAGAACAAATCATTTAATCTCTTCGATTCTTTCTCCACCCAGTTCCCAGATGGTTACTAGTGTCACAGGATTACTATAAGGATTGAAGGAAATCATGTAAATGAAAACACTACACTTAGTAAAGCAGTAGCTGTCAAATTTTGGAATGCTTCAAAATCACCAGGCAGGCTTGTTATAAACACAAATTGCTGCTCCTTCCCTCCGCCTCACTTTTCTGATTAACTAGGCCTCAGACAAGCCGAGAATCTACATTTCCACCAAGTTCTAAGGAGATGCTAATACTCTGTACACGAACTTTGAGAACCTCTGTTGGAGCTGGGAAGCATTTGCATCATTATAAGGGTAACACAGATTAATAAAATCAATTTGGACTAAAAGACTAAAGGGTTAGGTCAGTAAATGACTGCTACAAAATCTTGAATCAAAGCCTCTTTCCTAGAAATTTCCACTCAGAAGGAAGACTGAGAATGGAGACATCTAAAGAGATACAACATATCAGACATGAGCAATGATGTTCTACAATATATGGTACTGGCTCTTGCAAATCCTTGCAAAGAAAGAGGATTGAGGGGGAGGAGTCTGAAGGGGTGCCCAGTAATCTGGTTTAATAAATCCTCTAGGTGATTCAGATGCATGTTAAAATTTGAGAGCCCTGTCTTAAGGGCAGCTATTGTAAATGGAAGGGAAAAAAAAAAAAAAAGCTTCTCTGTGCTTTTAGAATGGTTTTGGTAAGTATTATCTTGGGGAGAATTAAGAAAACAGTCAAATCATGTTTTTTTGTTTTTATAGTTTGAATGATATATTTATATATCATAAGAATATGTAGGCACAAAATAGTTTTTATTGCTGTGGTCAGATTGCTACAGCTATGTTATCAGGTAAATGTAATTTAAAAGTTTCATTCTGCATGCTGTGAATCTAAGAGTCATCTATGGTAGGATACTATAAGTAACCACACAGTTCTCATTTCAGGCCAGCCAGTGCTGTCCGGCTGAAACACTCAGGTGATCTGAAGATTTTTT